GGCCCACTTTTTATGCTTTTGATGTTGGTTGCCACAGCAAAGATGCCAAATTTGTTTCACGCCCACACAAAATTCAGGAATGACTGACCTTTCCAATTGTATGTGCCTGGGGCACCAAATAAAATGTACTGCTCGTCTGGTGTGAAACCTGCCGCGATGCCCTGTTGGCAGTACCCGAAGCGTTGGTGACCCTGCGTGCGGCCTTCACAGAACTTCCAGTCGCCACCGTCCAGCTCGTCTCGGATTTGCAAGTCCTGGCTCAGCACGTAGCAGCGCCCAATCATGTCACGGGTTTCTGCTGGCTGATTCACACGCTGCCTCACCTCGTAGCGATGGGCACATGTCTACGAGTAAAAGACGAGCACCTCAATCACATTCACAGCACAGGTCGTTCAGCCCAACCGCGCCGTGCTGACATTCAAGCAACACACAAGCCTCACCCCGCCCATTTAAACATAAACTAACTAGAATCAAGAGGAGGCCGTTTGGCCCTGCTCCATCATTCTATATGGTCACCCAACTCTGTACCTGCTTTCGCCCCAAAGATCCCTAAGAACTGCTTCACCTCACCGTATACTTTTCCCTCCCTCACAGCTTTATTGAGCTTCCACTTAAATGTGGGTATTTTCAACTAAACTATTCCGTTTTGTTACGACACACCTCTGGAGCAGGTGGGACTTGAACCTGGACCACAAGCACCCTTCCCTGTATCTATGCTCTTCCTCTCAGCCACTCGAGTTTCCCAACTCTCTGGAGAAGGGAGTTTCCCCTGAATTCTCTGCTAGGTTTTCACAACTGGAACCACGTGGAGATCTACTCTACAATCCTTGTGAGGACCTTTATCAGCACAGCCCTCAGTCTTCACTTTCCGAGAGAGAAGAGACAATTCTTTGACCCGTGACACCTGTTCAATCTTGTTATACGCCATTCTCTGAACTCCCATCCTTCACCAAGTTTGGCCAACACAGCACAGACAGAATCATAGAATCCCTACAGTATGGAAGCAGATCATTCGGCCCATCGAGTCCACACTGACCCTCCAGGGAGCATCCCACCCTGACCCACCCCACTACCCCATCCCTGTAACCCTGCATTTCCCATGGCTAACCCACCTACCCTGCACATCCCTGGACACTACGGGCAATTTAGCATGGCCAATTCACCCTACCCTGTGCATCTTTGGACTGTGGAGGAAACCGGAGCACCCGGAGGAAACCCACAGACACGGGAAGAATGTGCAAACTCCACACAGACAATTGCCCGAGGTGGGACTGAACCCAGGATCCTGGCGCTGGGAGGCAGCAGTGCTAACCACTGAGCCACCGTGCCACCCCTTGGTTTGCTCTGCCCTCTACGCTGAGTCAGTGTCAACGGGAGCAACAGTCAAGAGGGTTCATAGGGAATACTTCAGTTGGAATCAGTGCCCATGGGTGAGGTAGACCCAGCCAGGAGCTCTGCCTTCCACTACCAGCTGGTGGCTTCTGTGGGCATCAGACAGGATAGGGCTTGCCTGCGCCGGCCACTGCAGTCAAACAGTCGGCTACCATCCACACAAGGTCCATGGGAACTATGGAAGGTTAGAAGCGACAGCAGCTGTGGGATTTGGGAGGAGAAAGAGAAATGTGTTTTAAACCACATTTTTCTTTTAAATGGTGGGAGCTGCTGGGTAATTGTGCTCATCAAGGTGAGGGACGTCAGTGTTGAGGAGTTTATTGATCTATTGCTGGGGTCCCATATCAATATCAGGAACATAGCTCTGCACTGACAATGAATGTCAAATGAACTTTGGCTCCTACTCCCCATTCCTGCTCAAATAGGGCAGCTTGTCAACCCTGCGTAGGAGGCCAACACTTAGAACAAATGCCATACATTTTAAATCACACAAAGCAGGCCATTTGACCCAACTGATTCAGACTGGTGCTCATTAGTAACACTGGATGTTACCTACGGATGGCCACTGGAAACTGAGTTATTTGTCCAATGTGTTTCGTTTGGGTTCCTTGCCACCAATGCAGCAAGGAGATGTCTGAGGATTTATTTGGAATAGATTTTAAATGGTCCCTCCAGAAATAAAACGGAATAGGAGAACGGTCGCAAGGCCTTCTGCCCATCATACCCCACCGCTGGGTTTCTGAAAGAGCGCCTCACAAGCCCACCCCCCCTACCTTTGCCCTGTAATCCTGCCCCTTCTTTTTTTGGTTTTCCTTTCAATCATGATCCCATTCTCTTGTGAATTGACCCTGCCTCCAGCACACTCTCAGGCAGTACATTCCAGAGCCAAACTGCTCGCTGTGTAAAAGACATTTCTCCTCACGTTAGCCGCGGTCCTTCCGACGAAAGGCGGCCACACCAGGAATCTGACTGAACATTTGCCGCCATTCCTGCCTTTTTATTTTCACTCGACTGGACTCTTCCAATGTAGCTACCTCATTCCCAACTACAGCCAATGGCAGTTAATGGCACTGCATAGCCAACCAATAAGAGGTAACCTTGCAGTGCAGTCAGTGCACCTGCTAACTTTGCCCACTTGAGTACAGCTAAAACTGGATGCCAACCGTAGTGACATTCAAATTTAAATTACAAAATGGATTGGGATTTGATCTAATCAATGGGCTAAGCTTTTTGCTGATTATGCAGCTAGACTGCCAAAAAAAAGCTGTCTGCATTTGCAAGAGGACATTTTCCCCATTTATTTTTGCTTTCCAGAGAGACTCTCTTGTTCAAAATGCCTTTTCAAGTTCAAACACTTTAAGAAGAAAATGATTCTTTGTAACATCTGTTGATTTTCTTCCTTGATCCCGTGCTAACAGATCTCTAGTGCTATTCAGCTCCCTCGGGCTCAGTGATTTTTAAAAGGAGTACCATAAATAAAACAATTTTTGTTTCAAGAAAAGAGCTCTCATCTCCTTTTGGCACTCTTCGCTATTCTCTTTGTCCACTGAAGATGTTGATAAGTGTTGGGATAGTGTTCCACAGCCACCGGCCAATCTTCCATTTCAAACAGGGAACAAAAGTCGGGAAATAAGCCCTTCGTACTGAACCTCCATTTCCTCACACAAGCAGACACACATGGCGTGTGTAACTCACCCCCAAGGCTCTGTGGCCAATTCCAGGTTCCCAACTGCTATCGCTTGCTGACCAGAAACTTCCTTGCCCCTTCCTAAAGTCCTCACAGAAGCTTCTGAAACTGAATATCTCCCTCAAAACCAACAAAAAGCAGCGCTGTTAAAATGTGCGATACAATGGCGAAACAAAGTTACGTCTTTTTCTCCTTGTAACTTCATCAATGATTTGCCTTAGACTCAGAGATATACAGCACAGAAACAGACCCTTCGGTGAAACACGTCGTGCTGACCCGATATCCTAAATTAATCTAGTCCCATTTGCCAGCATTCGGCCCATATCCCTCATATCCTTCCTATTCACGTACCCATCCAGATGCCTTTTAAATGTTATAATTGTACCAGCCTCCACCATTTCCTCTGGCAGCTCATTTCATACACGCACCACCCTCTGCATGAAAACAGTTGCCCCTTAGATCTCATCCGGTTTATAAAAATTCTTGAATCCATGTCAGATTATGATTTCTCATGTCACTCCTGAATAATCTCTTAAAGGCACCTTTGAGAATTAAATTGATTTTGAATTCAGTAATTCAGTCAGCATGAACTGTAACTGGCTCACAGTTATGTACAAACATAGTTTGATAGTGCCAAGTCTTCCAGCAGACTGAGCTTTTTTTTATACATAATATCTCCAGACCATTGCCTTTTTATTAACAACTCACCACAACTTTCCCTCCAATTCCTTGGCTTTTGACCGTCACACCCAACCATTGGTTCTCTTTACTCTCCCTCCTCAGATCAACTGGAAAAGACACAAGAACGTTACTGAACTTGATAGACTAATTGGCCGACGCTGCTTTGAAAATCCCTCGTGCTTGCAGTGTGTGCATTGAGTCCACTCCCACCCTGTGGCTGTTAGCCCATACAATGTCCATCTTCCTCGTCATTAACTACAAAGAGATGGATTCGGACCAGAAGTAGGCCTCTCAGGTCTACCCCAGCATCCAATAGGATCATAAAGAATCAGAGAAAATAGGAGTTCTCTTCCCAAATTAGAATTAGGCCGCTCATTGAGCCCAAACCGTCATTTAACATGGTCGTAGATGATCTTCTATCTCAATGCTATACTCCCACTGTCTCCATGTACCTCTTGAAGTCTTTAGCGACTAGAAATCTCTCTTAAATATGTTGAGTGACTTGGCTTCCACCCCATTCTGTGGCAGATAATTCCACAGGTTCATCACCCTCTGAGTGAAGAAATTTCTCCTCATCTCAGTCTGAAACAGGCTGCCCTGTATCCTGAGATCATGACCCCTGGTTCTGGAAGCCCCCTTTGGCAGGGGAAACATCTTTCCTGCATATAGAGTGTCCAGCCCTGTTAGGATTTTACACATTTCAATCAGAACCCCTCTCATCCTTCTAAACTCTAGTGAATACAGGCCCAGTTGAACCAATCACTCCTCATACGATAGTCTTGCCATCCCCGGTATCAGCTGAGTGAACCTCCCCTGCACTCCCACTATGGCAAGGCTAAGGGAAGCTAAAACTGCACACAATATTCTGGGTACGGTCTCACCAAAGCCCTGTATAGCTGCAGCAAGCCATCCTCACCCCCGCAAACCCTCTTGGAATTAATGCAAACTACCCAACTAACTGCTTGCTGCATCCGAGAGTGACCCCAACCCCATATTCCCCCCATTAACCCCAAGAGCTCCCTTAAATAGTGAAATCTGTCTATTTCGTCTTTCCAGTTGGCTATTTCATTGAGCAAAGTCACTTCACAAAACCTTTCAAGTCAGCTGGAGAAAAGTTTACCCAATCACTAAAAAGCATTATCACCGACACAACAGTTCCCCAGTTACTCATAATAAAACCGCTCAAAAGAATGTTACAGTATGGTGTATACATAATAAGAACTCTTCTGAAACAAAATCAAGATCACCATCAAACCACAACTCATATGTCATTAGCACCCTTAATAGAGTGACACCTTGCAAGGTGTTGCACAGGACCTTGAGCAAACAAGTTTGCAGATGACACTAACCTGGAAAGTTTATAAACTGAGAGGGGACAGCGTGGAGCTCCAAATGCACACTGACAAGTTGGTGGGGTGGGCGGAGAGGTGAGTGATGAGGTTCAACGCAGAGAAGTGTGAGGGGATGCACTTTGGTTGGAAGAACATTGAAAGACAATATAAAACAGGGGGTACAATTCTAAAGGGGGTGCAGGAACAGAGGGAGCTGGGTGTATCTGTGCACAGATCATTGACGGGGCCAGGAGAGGTGGAGAGAGCAGTGCTCTCAGCTTCATTAATAGGGACACAGAGTACAGGAGCAGGGAGGTGATGCTGAACTTGTACAAGACACTTATTAGACCTCAGCTGGAGGATTGTGTACAGCTGTGGGCCCCACATTATGGGAAAGATGTGAGCACATTGGAGAGAGTGCAGAAGCGATTTGCAAGAATGGTTCCAGGAATGAGAAACGTCAGCGATGAGGATGGATTGAAGAAGTTGGGACTGTGCTCCTTGGAGAGAAG